TGTATGTATCTGCTGTAAGGAAGATCAGGAGTCATTTCTTTTCTTTCTATCTATATATCTTTCTTAGCTTCTCACTTCACTTTTTTTCCTTTTTCTTTTCTTTAATTTTCCTTTATATTATCTTTTATTCTTGTGAAAATTCTTAATAAAAATTATTAAATATATAAAAAGAAAATCCCGAGTTCATTTGGAAATTTGGTGAAGCATTGTATTGGGGTGGCTCACATCTGAGCTATAATATGAAGAAAATTTAGACAATAGGGTTTTTCTTTCTGTTAATCTTTCCTACAACCTTTGTGTTCTTCCCCCCTCCCCACAACTTGTTCAAGAGGATCTTCCAACTCTGCAGATCAAATATTAAAGAATATAGGGGCATCCTGCAGATGGAACCTATTCTACTGAAATTATGTATTTTTAATAGCCAATTACCCTAATCAGCAAAAAACAAAACTTTTGCCACAAGCTTATAAGTGTAAAAAGGGGGACACAGTACATAAAGGATGCACAACATTGTTCTTTATGTAAGCCATGGGGATTGCACTCATAGAAGCCAATAAATCTGCACAGTGAAATGCATTATGAAATCCTTTGCATGGTGAAGGAATTCAAATTGTTTCTCTCTAGAAGACAGGGTTCTTATAACAGTCACTTTAAACTGAACAAACAATCCCATCCTTCTTACAATACCTAAAGAACCAAGGACCTGCGGACAGCCTTTATTTTCTGCGCACACAGCTAAGGAAAACTGAAATTCCTCCAGTAGATTATATACAATACATTGTATTCTCTGATTATCTGCTTGAAGAGAAAGCATCACCTGCACGAAAGCAATCAAAAGAGAAAATCAGTCTCTCTCTCTCTGCTTGATGTCAAGGGGTTAAAGTCACACCAGGTTCCAGAAAACGGTTCCTTCCAAGTCAGCATCTGGCTGCTGCCTGCGGTTAGTGGGAAGGATTTTGCTTTTTAATAGCATTATAAATAGGGCTGTGTTCAACATGCTGCAGACTTATGTCCTCTTTCATCCAACCTTCTCCCGCGTCCTGTAGCTGCTGCTCCTCCTCCCTGCACATCTACCACAGCTCTCTAGACATGGACCGATCAAACTTCTTGCTCAAATTCATCACCTTGCTTATATGTCTTCTTCCCGTTCTTCAGGCCTGTCCTCAGAATTGTCACTGTCATGGAGGAGACCTCCACCATGTCATTTGTGACAATGTTGGACTGAGAAAGATTCCCAAAGTAGCTGAGCAGACCCGGCTTCTCAATCTGCAGAGGAACAATTTCCCTGTGCTGCCAACCAATGGTTTCAGAGAGATGAAAAATCTTGTATCTCTTCACCTCCAACATTGCCACATCAAAGAAATCTCCAGCGGAGCTTTCCGGGGCCTGAAGCAGTTAGTCTACCTTTACCTGTCAAATAATGACATCAGTGTCATAAAGACGGGAGCTTTTGATGACCTGACAGAACTTACTTACCTCTACCTAGATCATAACAAGATCTCTGACCTGCCCAAGGGGATCCTCTCTCCACTGATTAATCTTTTCATCCTGCAGCTAGGTAACAACAGGCTCCGAGAGTTGAGATCAGGAGCCTTCCATGGTACTAAGAACCTTCGCTGGCTCTATCTCTCTAATAACTCAATCTCCTCCATCCAACCTGGGGCCCTGGATGATGTGGAAAACCTAGCCATATTCCACTTGGATAAGAACCAGCTGATCAGCTATCCAGCGGCTGCAATGAGCAAATTAAGGGTGGTGGAAGACCTGAAGCTCTCAAACAACCCAATGAAGGTCATTCCAGATTTAGCCTTCCAATCTTTTGGGCGGTACATGGAGACCCTCAGCTTGGACTACATGGGATTAGAAAAGGTAAGGACTTTTCAGAGCTCTCTTTCTTCTTTTTGGAATTCTACCATGTATACATTTGTCTGTTTATCTAATTCTGTCATTTTTCAGCATGACCAAGAAATAGGGAATGGATTCTATACAGGCAGAGAGCAGATTGAAGATCCATATCAAAGGCGAGCTCTCAAGCACAACCTTTTACTTTTTCTAACAGGAATGAACATGAATATCATTACTCTGAGTTTTCCCTTATAGTCCAATTCGGGGGGAGGGGGTGGAAATAGAATGCTGCACTTAGGAAGAATATTGCAGGACAATTAAAACTTTATATTTAGGTTACATTTAACCTAAAAGTAGACCTATGGAAGGTGAAAAATATATAGCTCCTCAGTCAAAGAGGTTGGGTAGGGGAGTGTTTCAAAACAGAAGTTAAACTCCAAAGAATGGAATTACTCATTCCCTCCCTCCACAGACAGTTTCTGCTTACTTGTCCTCAGAAAGTGGAGATATCTTCTGCTGGGCAAACAGGTTGGTACCAGGCTGGACTATTATGCTTGATCACACTTGTGGAAAGGGGAAACAGTAGTGTATCAGAGCTAAAAGACTGAGGGACCATCTTTCCAATAGCACAGTCTCTGCTGATTTTAAAGAGGAAAGAGAAAAGCAGAAGGGTAGAAGACCTTAAATAATCCCTGCAAAGGTGCACCAGGACAACTGCTGTAATCAGCTAGTTGTATGAAGGCCATGGAAACCGGCAGAAATGCCATTCTGGAGCAAAAGGCTACAGTTAAAAAGCTATTAATTGTTGTCCAACTAATGAGCTGTACACAAGACCATTAGTCTTTGTCAGAGAAAAGTGTCATATAATTAGCAGACTGGCAGTCAAGTGCTGATGGGCTAGATATATTTTTATTCAACAAAAGTGGTTCTTTATATTTAGGTTCTGGGAAATTAAACTAAATCTGGGGGGGAAAACAGCAAACACACATTCTCTGTCTTGCACTGTGTTTGTTTATTTATTTACTTATCAAGTTTATATAGTTGCCATCTCCATACAGGACTCATCTAACTGGGGCCTTTTCTTCCACTCCAAGAGAAGCTAAACAAATTCTGCATTGGCCTTCACTTTCACAACTCCTTACTTGTCTCCATTCCAGCTATTCCTTTCATTTCCTCTCTCTTTATTGCCTTTATCTCATCTATGAAATATTGTTTGTGAGCATTCATCCGGCGGTCTTTTTGTTTTATACAGTAGCTGGCATACTGCTGACCTCAATAAAGGTAATAACTGCACCCTAGTTTTCTTTTCTCAGAAAAAATGTCACTCAGAAAAATGGACCCAGTTCACATTTCATGCCACGTATGATTTGCTTAACTATAGTACGCAATACTTCATTACAGTCTTAGATGAGATTGTTTAATCATGATTTACTGTTTAGGGGCTCTTCCTCACATCCCCATGAATAGTACATGAGCATACCTGGTAACCACTTCTTTCCTGCAATGTCCTCATGAGCTTAAATCTTATCAACAAGTGATAAATCTAGTATCTAGAAATAGAACCGGATAAACTTTTATCTTCTGCTCCTCAGCTCTGTTCCATTTGTTCCTTATTTTCTCTCTCATACTTCATTTAAGCACATGTGCATATGTGTGTGCATGCGTGTATATACTGTAAATATAAAGAGGAGAATGTGTATATGTATGTATATGTACCATTATACTTGAACCTGAACTAAATTAAATCATGTTTAATTCTGGTTTAGCATGTTATGTGAATGTGGTCAGCGTTTTAGAGCTTAGCATGTTGTGTCAACCCAGTGAATTGTGACTCTGGGCAAAACCAGGTACTACACTAGGGTTCATCTTCACATCCCCCTAACTGTGGTACAAACATGCCATGTATCTACTTTTTTTCTGCCATGCACAGAAAGTCAACTAGCTAAGAAGACCAGGTTCTTCCAGCTGTGTATTACTAATTCTGTCACCACTGACCTTTAAGTGTGCTACCAGTTTTCCACTGTTTCTGCTGACAAAGGGTTTTGCGTGGACATCTTATTATTGTTGTTGTTGTTACTACTACTACTACAACTCGAGGGTAGTACGTGGTGGCCCCATTTTGCCTACTCTATTTTGGGCAAGTTGGCACTAGGTGCCATGGTGATGAATGTTACTTTTACACACAGGCCCATCCCAACTGCACACTACGTTGCCCATGTGGTCAAAATTAGACTCCTTGATCGTTCGCTGCCAGCAAAACTTTTCCCATAAACCAAGCGGACGATTTTCTTGACTTGGAAAAGTACGCTGGCATAATTTGTGCTGCTCTTGTGGCTGCTCCCTATTCTGCCCCAGGAACAAGGGCAGCGGCTGGTGCTGTCCTTATTGATTTAATGCAGGACCAGTTAAGGAAAGGGATTGGTGGATTAGCCTAGCTCAATTTCCCCTCCTGCCAAAGATTGCTGCTGGTGGGGAGGGGAGTCTACCACCCATCACTCCCTAACATGAGTGGGGCAGGCTCAGGTACACACAGGTGAGTGCTTGGAATTGTACATTTAGCCTGTTGTCAGGTTGCACAGAGGCCCTCTGCATCTGTGAATCGACAGATGGCCTATTTCTGAAAATAGGTCTACCGCTCCTCTGAAAGAATGCCAAAGCTGTGTTCAACAGCCCAGCTGACAGATCACAGTGTGGAAGAAGGGTGCAGGATGGAAAGGGAGTGGAAGATTGACAAAGCAAATTCCATCCTTGATTAGTGCATTAGAGAGTGGCAGTGGCCAAGGAGTCCAGTTCTGACCACCTGGAAGTAGCCAATGGATGGCCACAGAGAACACACAATTGTGATTGGCCCACACATAGCAACAACAGTTGCTACTATGGCATCTACTGCCACCAAAGCTGGAATGGAGTAGACAATGGGTGGTAGTTCCCCCACCCAACCAATGTAATAAAAAAATTAAAAGTATGGCCATGCAAAAACCCTTGTCTGCAGAAACAACAGAAAACTTGTAAGCTCCCAGTGGTAATACAACCAGCAATATCCATTTGAAAGAACCCAGCTCTCTTTCCCACTTTAAACTGACCACAAGCCTAGTGCTCTCCCCTTCAAAAGAGCAGGAAAACCATTAAAAAATAAGGCGGGCACTCTTCAAAAGAGAGTTAAACCAAGGATTATAAGGAGTCTGCTTCGGATCTGTCAAGTGTTCTTGAAAGCACCACGAAGGCTTTATGAAGGCAGATGCCTCTATAGATCTCTTGAGTCTCTTTTGCAGCCCAAGCCAACCAGGCCAGAGAGGGTGGTTCCCAGCAACTGGAGGCAAGGAGGCCTGTTCACAGCAGCCCAAAGGGGCCAAGAGACCTTGCCCCTGGCCATTGTTGGCAACCACATTAAATCCATAACAATAATTGTGTTGGGAGAAAAGGGGAAACCCTAATACTCCTTGAAAACTAGCACAGCTAAGGGACCACTTCAGGTTGCTTGAGCCATGGACTGGGGATGAGATGAAGGCAACACCATCAGAACTTGGCAAAAAAAAGAGGCTCATGCTGCAGTTAGGGGGAGATGAGGATGAGCCCTAAGCGTCCATCTGGTTTTGTCCTAAGCCACAATTGGTTAAACTGACCCAACACACTAAGCCCTAAATCACTGTTTACAAATTATTATGGGTCAGCTCACATAACATACTAAACCAGAACTAAACATTATAGTTTAGTTCAATATATGAATTCCATCAGTGTGTGTGTGTGTGTGTGTGTATACACACACACATACACACACACACACATACATACATACTGAACCTACACACATAGTTGTATAGAGAAAGAAAAGAAGGGAGGGAGGGAGGTTAGGAGGGAGAAATGAAAAGTTGTCAAGAGAGTTAGTCTCTGTTTTAGATACTGAGTTGATCACCTGTTGTTGGTAAAATGTAGTGACTTTCAAAAAGAGGTGGGTGGTACTACGGCCTGGAGAATACACTGAAGATAAGTAAACTGAGCACACATAAGGATTTACCTCTTTTCTCCTCCTCCCCCCACCTTATACTTTATTAAGAAGGATTTGTTTATTGATCATCTCTCAAAAGAAACCCTCACAGCACTTCACAAAAAAGCTCTGTTCTAGCTGGAAAGTTAGAGGAATGGTCTGGTTGGCAACAAAATACTCCCCTTCTTCTCAACCAATGAATCATGACCCTAGTGCAGAAGCAGGATATGTGAGATCCTGGTTGTAAATAGGAAGCAGAATGACATCATGTCGGATATAGCATGTCCGTGATGGAACAAGAGACCACACTAAAGAGAAGCAGCAGGATGGAAGCCTTCCAGGTGAACAAGAAGTACTGTTTCCAGCTGTTAAAGTGCCATGCTGAGATTGCCCAAGTGCATCAGGCCAGCAGAACA